AGGATTGCATTTTTGATGAAGATAGGATGTTTTATTGTTGTTCTCTTTTTTCTTATTGAATTGTAATAAAATATTGCGACTTTAGATAATGATTGTCTCGATTACAAGTAATCAATAAAAAAAAAAAAAGAGAATATCAACATATATTATATAATCCCCCATTTTGATTATCAATATTTTGCTATATTAGATTTATTTTATTTTTATTTTTGTTAAACATGATCTAAAAGGAATGCTAAGATGTATTAATAAAACTAGGCCCTTGTTTGCCAACGAAGGTGTAAATCTCGGTTCAGGTAAGAAAAAAAACTAGAAATAGTTTAGTACCTTCTCGTCTCGTTCAATATAACGAAGAATAACTAATGAGTAATGATAAGAATAGAATGTATAAAGATTAATGAATAAATATGTCCCAAATTGAAAGAAAACAAACAATTTTCCTATGTTTATACACAGCAGCTATATCGTGTTTTACATTTTAATCTTGCAGAATTGTGTTAATAACTTATTATTTAAAGATGTACCAATTTATATAATGAAAATAAAGTAATTTGATTGATATATTTTTAATGTAATTATTTATTTAATGAACATGTTATAATGAACTATTGTTCACAAATTTGTATTAATATTACAGTTAATAAATCGATTTGTTATCTAACAGGTAGTACTATTTTTAGTTCTCTATCAGTTAAGTCTTAGCGTTAATGTTAACACAAGATATTGAGTAATGAATATTTTATTAGGAAAAAATATTTTTTAATATCTATCTTACTTCGTTTTCTCGCATATTTTGGATTCTAATACAAAATCTTTCATGAATTATACCGAATTATTCAATTTTACTTTCTATTCTCTTAACATAAATTAATAAACATGAACTCACAATTATTCTCTTTCACAGATTTAACTGAAAGTTGACTCACGAAAAAAAGTATGGATAAGACTAGAATAATCCTAAAAAAGTTCATGAGCATGAGAGCCTTTGAAGCCGAATTGTCAGCCATAATTCGATTCTAGATACTCATAGTTATAAACTTTTTAAAGATTGTTCTAGATTTATCGAAATCTCTCTATGTAATATAAACATGAACTAGGCTTACTGAACGTCTCATTTTAGCCGAAGTAATGCTTAGACTAGAAATTAAAGAAAGTTATGTGTAACGTTAGTAATTCCACAATGGTAATAGATAGTTTCTTTTTTATTCGGTATTATATAAGACAGAATTCTTTTACACTCTATTATCTTTGTGAAACATCAAGATAAGGACGATGTGTGTGATGATGTCTCATATGGTAATGATGAGAAAACAATCTTAAATTCTACTGAATTTTGTCGAATTTACACTGTAAGTATATATTATTTGTCTTTGAGTTTTGATATAACGGCAAATATTTTTATTTATCATATTTTATACCAATCAAATTATGATGTATTTATTGAAGATTAACATGATACTACTAGTTTTATTTTTATTGAGACAAATTATCTTTATAGTCCATTGTATTGATCAACAACTTCATGTAAATGATCTTATTTATTTATGATTGTATATGAGTTTTAAAAAATGATGGACATTATACAACTCAATTAATAATTGTTACTCTTAATCATATGGTTGAAATACTTTATTTTATTAATTATGAACATGACCTTCTAATGAACATATTGTCACTATTGAATCAGCTTATATGAATGAAGAAAATTGTACATATTAATTCATAAACATATTATACATCCGATTGATGTAGTTATGAATTTTTATAAAAATTCTCATTTTCATTAAATACGTTTGCAAGTCATTTGCATTGGATTAATCATGAAAACCGTTTACTTGGACTATCAATAGAGTTATTCTAGACAGCTAAACTGGGAAACTATATTCATATGTAAATAAGAGCATAACTTGACAAATGTTAATATTCATTAACGAAAAAAGACTAGCAATACGATTGTATGAATTTCGTTGTAATTGATTCTACTTTACGCCCATTGTATATTTAGCACAAATACTTCTATTGCAAAAGTATAAAATATCTTCGTAAATAGTAGAAAAAGACTAATAGTGACTTCTATCAAACGATGTTTGTCGATCGATGTTGACCATCAGGATGATCGAGAGATTTTACTAAATCATGCCTTAGTCACATAATGTTGTAGGGTGTGGGTATCAGTGTTCTTCTCACCAAACGACACCCACAGTTTTGACAAAGCGAACAAAAATGCATATTAAATATAACATAGCGAGTCGACTAGATGTTTTTTTTTCAAAATAAAAAAAAAACAAACTCGAATAATACTTTCTCGTTTATTTTTTGTAGATCATTGCAACAAAAAACTTTTATTTAAGAGAAAAGCTTTTTAAAAAAATCTGAATGTCCTTTCCTGTTGATTTCTCGATTTATTTTACTATCTCGCTTTACTACTGTATGATGGTTATCTCCACATAGTTTACTTATTGTTTTAGTTTTGTTCTTTTCATTTGCATTTAATGATTATTGAATTTTTTTTCAATAATATACCTTCCAGATGGTGTAGTTTCTCGTTTCATTGTTGTTATTACAATAGTTCTTGGAAATATTTTACTGAGACCATGTCTTTCTATAGTAGCATCAAGATTTTTATCACCATGATAATTATCTACAAAAGATATTAATTTAAGAAAATTCTTTTTTTAGAATAGGTTTTTACTTAGAAACTCTTGTTTAAGAACTTCATCTGTTAGACTAGTCGATGGCCTAGGATTTTCATTGTTAAAATCTTGTAAAGCAAACGAAAATAGAGTTGAGATATCGGATAAAAGTCGATCGAAATCAACGAAGATTCTTTCAATTGAACAAAATAAACCATTGAATGAAAAATCATCATCATCATCATGATCTTCTGCCTTACTTTTTATTATTTTTATTTAAATACAGAAGGAAACTATAAAAAGCATATCTTTAGATATCTAATTATCTCTTAGTTTACAACACTTTTGACAGTCCGGTAAGGAATTAAAATTCTTTTTTTTTTTGGTGTGAACGATGGTTTATTGTAATTTGAATCAATTGTTTTGAATTTCAATAAGTTCAGTGAAGTTGAACAAGAAAAAAGCTGCCGGTATGAACATTCGATAAATGCATGTGACACCTTCCAGTTCAATGAACTGAAAGAATCTTATCAAAAAAGATTTGCCTAATAGGTCTTCTCATATAAATTTAATTCAATCACCAACTTCCTCTATTATAATTAAAACCTGGTTAAAGTTCATAAAAGGGTGTAGGGTGTGGGTGGGTGTGAATGTGGATGGTTATTTTCTTTCTCCACACCCACACACCCACCCTTTTATAAAAATCTTGTAGTAAGAATCTTGTAAGATTTACTTTAGAATCTCATTATAAGATACATATTAAAAACGGCTAAAACCGCCACGTAAACGGTGTTTCGTGACGGTGTCGTAAATGGTGTACAATAAACGGCCCGTAAAACAGTCTGTAATATATCCGTATATATTTAATTAACTGATACTCGTACGTGAAAAATATCCGGTCATCATAATCATACCGTTTTTTATCGGTTTACAGTCGTTTACGGACCCTTAATATAGACCTAGGTACATTTTCAAATCAATTAAAATAATTTAACAAACCAATAGCAAAAATTGCCATTATTTTTACCAATTGAATGTGTGAACCACAACCTTAATTTATTATTTAAAAAAAATAAAATAAAAATGATTGATATATTTGTAATTACTATCCATAATTCCTGATAAAATATATGTTAAAAATATCAGATTAAGAATATCACTACTCGATGGTTGAAGAACAAATATATTTGCTCAATTAAAGACATTTCTGGGCACACCTATGATTACAGTAAAATGATTCTAGCTTCACAATGGCTCGATGAAAATCGATGAAATTTTTATCATAGACAGCCAATGTACAGAGCTACAAAATGAGAGGTATCCTAGCTCTTGATGTCTTGTCATTCTGAAGTTATGAAGTCTACAATGGACATGGACTGCACGAATAATAACTCTCTTGTAGCTCACACTATAGGCGCGCGGGTTTGAGTGCTGACCTACATTCACCGAGAACTATATACACTCCAGTTTTCAGAGCAACAGCTCTTGTAGTAACTGAGATCTAGGGGGTCGGACACTTTTGAGTGGTACTGTAGCTGTGATCTTCAATTTCGAAAAGCGTGCAAAAATTAAAGAAAGCTTCGTCTGAGAAATTCGACGACTGAATCAAGCAACTTGTCATGGCACATGATAGTAATCAGTTTGTATAAAATTTAAACGGAATTATCACCAATGTCACATTATGAACATCAATATCGATTTCTAGTTTTTCGGTAAATATTGTTTATTTTAATTTTTCTTCTGATATGGCGAATAATGATAATGTGACGATAATCGTGTTAATACGGGAGAATTATATGAACGTTCATTATCGCTTCGATATTGTTATCCGCATTTACTTGAATCAATTATCAAACAAGATGAGCAAAATCTATTAATTGAATAACTACCACCGGGAAATATGGCTTTATATTTTTAAATTTTTATATGAACAAGAAATTCAAAATTTAATCTTTGCTTATCCAAAATTTCAATTATTAAAAATTATTTGAGAGGCTCATGGAATAAAACAATTGCAAACAGATCCATTTCTACCTAAATTGATTCCTACAATTCATGCGTAATATGATAGTTGAACATTATTTCGTCTTTCTAATGCTGATTTTTTCTATCAAAATATCAATGCATGTTGTCGTGTTGCAGCTGTTTATGCTATTTTCTTATTAGGACATGGAAAAGATGCAAAAAATGTACACGGTTCGACATGATAGAAACACTCATGAAGTATGCGAAGTCAAAATGGAAAACCTATTGACTGATGCATTTAATAATAGAAATTGTTATGATTTTCTATATCGAGTGAAGTAAAGAGATGAAAATTGATGACAACCAATGATTAATTTAGATTATGGTGTCGATCTAACATATATGACAAATCGACATCAATCGAAATTTATTGGACAAGATCTTTTATCATGTCTTCATTTTGAAGTAGAAGAATTTTGTTCAAATACCGACATGAAGTATTGGGGTCATTTAAATGAGGTCGATATTCTTGCTTATCAGCGAAGAATGTCTCTAGACGATGATGATGAAAAACTTGTTGATCAATATTTGAATGATGAGGACGATGGGGAAATCTGGGTACCATGTACAACAAATTCTGTATTAGGCTACCATGAACATTTATTCAAACAAACAGAACAAAAGTCGGATACTAGTCTCTTTCGAATGTTATCAGCGAAAGATCATTTCATTAAAAAACAATATACTTGTCCTATGGATCAGTGTAACNAGTAGAGACTTTTCAGTTCGGTTCAGTCTGGTTGGGTAAAAATGGTAACCGATCCATCTCTGATGCTGACTGAGATACATTTTATTTTAGCGTGCAGTAGCATCCTAAATTCCTGAATATTTGGCATAAATGAATAAGTTGATCAGGTAATGAAAATTTATTTTCAAAAGAATGAATTAAATCAATTTTGTTGACATTTGTAAAGTTGACAGCTTGTATTATTCATTATGCGAATTCATACTGATTTATGAGTCAGAAATGTTCATGACAGTAGTGATGGAATTTCACCGGTGATCGACATCTCTATTATAAGTAATAAAAGAAGTCCAACCTCAGAAAATAACGTTTGATCTTACTCAATAGTAACATGTAATTTTTAGTGCATCAGTTGAATCGAATATCATTGAAAATCCGATCACAATCGAAATGAAAGATAATGATAACATAGAACAGTTCATCAATCCACTACTAGAACAAACAGCTGAAATAAACAGCAACAAACCAGTTGAAGTATCACCATCAATAGTACAGCGTTTTGAAGGAATACTTTACGCATTATTAGCAGCATTTCTTTTCACAAGTTCGGTATTTATAACAAACCAATTAAAAGTAGAGATACTTGATGCATTAATCCTTCGTTTTCTGCTTCAAACTGTTATGTTGATTATCTATATAAAATTAATAAAGCATTATTCATTATTTATACAATCAACAAGGCGAGAAACATGTTTTCTATTAATCAGTACTATTTTTTCTACAACTGGTTATTTTGCTTTCTTTCTTGGTTCACGTTATTTATCATTACCAGACTTAACAACGATACGTTATACACAAATCATTTGGACAACAATTATAGCAGCAATTATATATTGTGAAAAACCAACTATACCAATAATATTAGCAGTTTTATTAACAACCGTTGGAGTTGCATTTGTTGCCCAACCGAAGTTTTTATTTGAAAAAACATCTAACATAACAAAAAACAAAATTGAAAATTATCATCATCAACATTTAGTAGGGCTATTTATTGCATTATATTCTTCTATAGCACTAGCCATAACGTTAATATCAAATAAATATTTATTATCAAAATATAAAACAAAACATAGTATAATAATGTGCCAATTTACATTTCTATCATTATGCATTGTAGTTATTTATTTATTTTATAAATACTATTTTCTTATCGATAAAATTCAATCTTTAAAACAAGATTTTCTTAATTGGAAATATCTCTGTGCTTCATTAGTTTGTTTATTACAAATAATTTCATCAATATTAATACAAAAAGCAGTGAAACGCGAACATCCATCAATATTTACAATTGTTCAATCAAGTGACATTTTATTTTCTATTCTATTACAAAATATATTTTCATCAATTAAATCAAATTTTTTGTCAATAATTGGTTCAATTCTGGTGATAACAAGTATATTAATCATAAGTGGATATAAGCTTATTACTGAAGTAAAAGACAAAGCCGATACAGTTCAAACGTTACCGATTGAGTAGTTTCGCTGTTTAAATCTTTCTGTTCAAAATAAAACGGCACACTTAATTTTTATGCAACGAAAATGAAAAAACAGTGTCGAAGTACGAGGCTAGACTTTTGAGCCCTCTTCCTACTGATGATGCTGAATAACGCTTTGAAAGTAAAATTTTCACAAAGGGAAACTCACAAAGTTATAGAGGGTGTCGGTGTGAATGTGGGTATAGGCGTGAGGGTGTGGGTGTTGGTGATTGCATAAGAATAATTCACACTCTTAAATATCTCAATATTGAAATCTTTTATCAGAAACATAGATCCTTTTCTTACTTCATAGACACTCACATATGTAAAATATCATCCTTCATTGTTATCATTTAAAAATGATAATTCTAAGTAGAAAACAAAGCATGATAAAATTACAAAACTTAAAGATCTTATTCAAAAGTGTGACAAATGGCAAGAACTTGTTTTCTAATCATGGTAGAATAAAATACAACGTTCTTCTATTTACATGTCATATAATGACAATATCCATAAGAGAATAATTTTGAATTAAGATAGTAAAGAAAGAAAAAAATATTTATGAAAAATAAAATGTCATGATGAAAGTAGAAATGAAGCATGCTGCTGATTGAGGAACTAGAAAAGATCATCCGAATTCGAGATCTTCTCATTTACATATAAGATAAATGAAGAGCCAAAGAGTGAAATGAACAGTTAACACATCTGTTTCATAATATATATTATATTTGATCACAAGAATAAGCAAAGAGGTAGCCAATCAACATCGGTAAAACTATTGATTTCATACGATTGAACAGTTGTAGACCGTCGAGTAATACTACTATAAGAAAGAAGCAACATATAACTATCATCAAGTCAAGTTTTGACCTGTCAGATTAGTTCTTAACTATCACGAACATCGAACCAGCGTCATATTACTAGAATAGAATCATGAAACAGGTCAATAACAAATTCTTGAATTAATGAATTATACGCTCTAGTTTCCACTATAGCATGTAAAGCACAGTCAAATATAAATGGTAGAAGCATGTGGAAAGAAGTTGCGATCAATAAGTGTGCCTTGGCGTTCATCATTCATTGATTTCGATAAAAAAAATCAACAGGAATACTTTGTATCGAGCTTGAATTAAGACTTATTTTACATATAAATGTGTTGTGGGTGTGGGTAAAATTATTATCTACACCCACACCCACATCCTTAATATGCAAAAAGTACTTTTAATATGATACATTAAAAAGATGACTTGGATTACGATAGACGTCTACTGGAGTGCGATATACTTGATTGTGTTATGTGGATATCTCGTTTTCATTAATATCCTCCAACGAACGCATATGCTAGTCACACTTATATCCATACCATGTATAAAACATAATTCTTTTAGTTTTGTTAGAATTATTTCCTAAATCAAAAACTATGTTTCCTATTTATTTAAAATCAATCATTATTATATACAAAAAATAAAAATAAAACAAGTCCTAAATAACTAAATTTTTACCACCATAGATACAAATCACGATTAATAAATTTACTACAATAATCATTAAGTAAATTTTCTGATTTGATTAAAACATTTAATTCTTTTAAACATATTTTTGGTATTCGTAAAACACATAAAAAGAATACATATTGTGTTTTATCATTAGTTTTTGATAATAAAAATCGAACTATTGATTGTATTTCTTTTCTATTTAATCCAATTTTAAGATATTCTAATCGTGGAAATAAATTCACAACCAATTGAATTTCATTCAATGAATATCAAACATGAAAATCGAGAATTTTTATTTTATTTCTATTTGATACATATTGAAAAACTTCATTTTGTTTAATTACATTTAAATTAATGCCGCTGAATGGTAAATAATCGAATTTTAATGCATACAAGTTAGGTGTAAAACGTAACAGTTGAATAATTTCGGCGAATGAAAACTTATAACATTCAATAACTAACTTTGTAAGTTGTTTTAAAGGAATCATACGGCGAAGAGGTTTTGGAATTGAATCATTTGATGTTTCAAAATGATATTTAATGGTTAATTGATTAGCATTTGGAAAATAGCTTACATAATCATCTTTTATTTCTTTACTACAAATATAAAGATGTTTAACTAAATGATAATTTTCTTTTTGTATTTGTGAACAAATTGGTTCATTTGACTCCCAATAATACACATAATCTTTTCTTCTACAATAGAATAAGAACTATTTTCTATTTGCAATGATATTTATCTCAGCGAATAATGTGATAACAGAATCAGTTAACAACCTGGCGTTTTAATTATACGAGAGAGAAAGCCCAGGACCGTAATAAAACTATATTCCGAAACTAATAGGATTTTAATAAGATCTTTCGATATACACAAGGCTGACATTCATAAATAATTCCATTTTCGAGATATAAGATCTTTGATTTGAATCAATGGACTTATACTGCATATTGGTTACTCACCATCCTGAATCCAGCGATAAATTTTCTTTTTAGTTTCACGATTAATCTTTAGGGTATGGGTGTGGGTGTGAATGTAAGTGTGGATGCAAAGGGCAGAAAGAGACCCACCCTCATCCACACCCTGAGTAAACATACATTTGTGTTGGTTAGATGTAAAATTTTCCTATCAGACTTTAACGAAAGTGTATCTGATTCGTATTACACTAAGCTAATTTCTAGTAGATGACTTTTTCTTTAAACTATGAAAGATACTGTCTAAGGTAATAGGCAGTTTCTCTATGAATGTAACGTAATAGTATTTTTGTCAAATCTCAAAATTTGTTGATTATAATAAACGAATGCTCTAAATTTTTTTCTAAGGATATATGTCAAAGAGCTTACAAGAAAAAGTTGAAACCTATATCTCATTTAAATCAACTTCACAAATCGAATTTTTCTTGAGAGCTTCTCCCTTAATCTGAAAAATAATATCATTCGTACGTGTTTTTGATTACTTTTAAATTCTTCCGACCTTATTTCTGCAAGTGTCTAACATAATTCTAATAGAACAATCTTGGATTTGAAACTAAGGCTGATGGATTGTTATCCATTTAGATTTTATGTTGATAGCATAAATGTTTTGTCAAGGTCAACAAATATAATAAAATTGATGTCGACATTCAAATCGTTCGATATGCATTGTATCTCATTTGAATAAAAGAAAGTTTTGTGACTGCAATATATCATTATGAAAATATAAAATGAAAATTCTTTTAGAATACATCATGTTGCTAATGTCGAGTAACATAAGAGAGCATCAATTTTAAGAAGAGGTTTTCACCTATAGCAAAAACTAAGAGTTAAATTCACAGGTGTATTCATAATAAGAGTAATTATATGTCTATATAACAGTGTTCAAAGACTAACTCGTATGTATTCGTTAACTTACGAGAAATATAGCATCAAAATATATAACTTTCATACAATCTCGTAGGAAAAATGGTAGAATTTTAATATCAGTAACATTTATTAACATGTGAACTACAGAACTCAAATGATA